GTTATATTAAAAATGTATATTTTACTGTAAAAACTGATAAACATTGTTTAGATACAAATTTATGTAAAAAAAACATATTTTCAAAATTCAACAACAAATGCTATTAAACGATTTGAAGATTTAATTTTTGCATTTTAAATGTAAATTTAAAATTAATAAATATGATACAACTCAGCACTATTTACCCTCTCTACAGCTAGAAAAAAATGCAAATACATAAAGTTCCGGGCCCTAGACTTATAATTATACTATACGCAACTATCATTGTCATCCCACCGTGGCAATACAATTAATGAAAAATGGTATACAGCGAGATATAATTTGTTAGGTTCAATAAAATATATCTGTTCATCTTATTCTGTAATAGATTTTAAAAAAATATATAATAATTATATTCTACAGAGTTGAGATCTTAGTATGTCATAAATCGATTTACTCTTACCTATCGTTATTACTTATTAGATTTAAACCATTTGTCTTTTATACTTAATTTCTAAAATAAAATAAAAATACGATTTAGATTCAGAATTAACTATTAGGCGATGAATGTATTGATTTTAATATGATATGAGTTTTTTTTATTATTGTTTCTCAATACACTTTATCAAATAGAAAAACAAATGCTTTGATCGACAACTTTTGATTCTGATAGCAGATTAGATCTTGTGAGTACTTTTGGGAGGTCAAAAATGAAAATTCTCATTACTTTTTAGAATAATCATAAAAAACAAAAATAAAAAAACCACCATTTGTGAAAATAGTAATGTTATTATTATTAAATTATTGTTTGGTAACCAAAGTTGGATGGATTTTAGTTGGACCGTCTTAGATTGTTTTTAGTTTTATTTCTATAAATATCGTAAAAAAAACAACTTCAAATGTCTATAAATAGCTCAAAAGACAAAAAGAGGTTGCATATTTTGAAAATTATATCATTAGATTATAGAAAATAATAATTTAAATATTTTGTGAAAATTTAAAATATCCATAATTATTGGTTTTTGTATATAAACAAAATAAGAAAATCGATTTAGTTAGCAACTGGTTTTGGATGGAAATTCCCGTTCTTTCCTAATTTTTTTTTGGTTTTAACCAATTATTAAGAAAAATAACTTATAACTTATGTGTTATCACATAGTAAATATACATATTATATTATTATTATATAAGTTAGTTTAAATAGTATTATATAATAATATAATAATATAATAAATGAAATATTTTTGGCATTCATCGAATAGATCGATAGATACCTAATACTAATAATAAATTGACTTAATTTAATAGCAATATCTAAAAACATATTATGAAAATAGAAAATATATACTTAGTGTAATATAGGTTGTAGGTCATCTTCGTTCAACATAATTTTCTTATGATATGATTTATCATTCAATTACAATTTAACACGTCTTACTCGTTGACGATGTTTACTCGACACCTACTATACAGCAGAGCGGTAGGTTAATTATGAAACTACAATGATTAAATAAAATCATAAGCTTCAAAGTTAAACGATAGTACTAATAATATTTTATTTTAACTATTTGAAGAGCTTATATTTTAAATAAAGGTGTGAAAAATATCTGATTCAGTTTTGTTAAAAATCTACATACACATTTTTTAATGATTATGAACAATGAACATAATAAAAACTAAATTAATACATTAGTTACCATAATACCATTGTCAATAATTATCAATAGAAGTAACAAGATATTTGTTGTATGATGCAGATTGATTAAGTATCTACTCCAGTAAAGAATATTAAGAACATTTTTTTAAGTACACATTGTCAGATTGTAAACCTGTAAATCTCGTAATTTACAACAATTAAAATGCGAAAAATATATACCAATGTTGAATAAAAACAAATATAATTTTCAAAATGTAATAATAAAATATTGCTATTATGAATAATTCATTCAAAACAAAAAGTGCTCGATAAACAATTGGAGAAATTATAATAAAAATACTTTGAGTCTGTAGTAATTAAAAACTGATGAATTTAATTTTATTAAGGATATGTATAAAGTTTTGTAACACAAATAAATCATCCACTTATAAAATCAAATAACACATTTTAATATTAAAATGAATATAGTACAATTTATATTGATAGGTAGAATTTAAGCAATTATAGATGTTAATAAATTAACCCTAAACAGTCTAGGAGTAGGTTAACGAATTCTTGAATAAAATGAACACCTAGGGTCATTGTATTGTTTATAGTATTCAAATAAATAAAATTCTGAACGTATACCTACAGCTGTAATGTTAAATTCAACCCTTTCTAGCTTGAATATTGATCTAAAGAATATAGTGGTTTTTAGCATAGACTTTTTTCTTCAGAATTTTCTCAGAAATGTCTGCAGTAATAATTTTTTTAATATTTAATTAAAAATATTGTTTAGGTTTTTTTCTATCTTGAGTAAAATACTACAATGAAGTCGAACTGGAACCAAGGTTTTTTTTTATGAGTATTGAAACAGTTTCGCAAAACCAGCCTGCAATCAGCATTATTGCCATAAAAATAATCACGTCATTCCATCCGCATTAATTCTGTAAATGTGGAAATTATTCGTTATTCTATACCTATCGCCAGCGTATGCTAATAATTGTATGAACTTGACTGAACTACTTAGTACTTACCATTTATGAGTCTATAGTGAGTTTTTATTATTATAATTTTTACAATCGATGGTGGCGTTATTTTAATAATACCACGCTGCAGGATTATTAATTAAAACGCATAATAGGTACCACCCAGAATAGTATATTATGACGTATTTGGTTGACGGTAGAGTGAGGACATATAGGGCTAGTAAACATCGTACGGTCGGATCTGCTCTTTATGTGGTATTCCGCAATATAATATGATGTAATATTAAATAAGTTAAATATATTTTTTCCCTATCGAAAACAACGACGTCGGTCACTATTTTATAAATGGCCATTGTAGCGTTAGTGGGTGTTTGACGGCGGTCGATACATTTTTTTGAGTTTCAATAACGACGGTTGTATGTAATACAACAATAGAGCAATCAGGATTAAATGTTTTTCCCACACAAAAAAAAGAATGAACGAATTGGATTTTATTTATATAGTTGGCCAACAGTTTCGATTTCATTTTTAAAAAACGACCACCAGGATAAAGTACAAAAAACCAATATTGACGGCGACAAAATGATTTACGTACTATTTTCAGGTTGGGTTGAAAAGTTATCGATTTTGAGGCTTCCTGTGAAATACTGTTAATATATTTTTATTATTTTTTATACTTATATTTAAAATATATTATGTTGAAACTAGTTTCATGAGTAATGAGTGGATTTATCTGGTTGTGGCACTTAGTAGTTCTTAAATTGTAATTAATATGCGTTATGATGGCCGCACTCGACCATATTGGCCGATCTACTTACATGTATATTATAATATATACATATTTTACATTTGAGGTTATTTACGATAATAAGAAATGTGAACGATATTAAAATGTATGTACAATTCAGGTTTATTTATAAACGTATAGCCTGCCTATAATGATAATGACAACGGTTTGACGAACACATCTAATATTCACTACCTAATAATAAAATTACCGACATTTCGACCGCGTCTATAGATTTTTATTTCAGACCGAATAGAAAGACTGTACAACTTCTTGCACGGTTTTCGTCACAACGCCACAGCCGCCGCCGCCGCCGCCGCCGCTTTCGTGGCTGTCACCGCCGCTCCCGTCCCTACTGCATTATGCAAAACGCATCGAGCCCAGATAAACGAAATTTGTAAGTCGGCTAGAGCACGCGCTCAGAATCGTGAATTGGTCCCGAACGAGTGTAAACGTAATTCAACCGACTGTCACTGCGCACAAATCACTCGAGATTTGTATAATATATATATATATACCTAACACACTTTGAATAGAAGTGCGAGAAACATCCACTCAAATATACATGCACACTTTTATGGTTAAGAAATAAACGTTGGTGCAGAGCCTTAGTTAAAAATAGTATTAGTGGTTCATGTAAATCGATAAATCAGCCAACCTTTAAAAAAAAATGGTGAACCTATAATATATTCCCCCTTCAACTACAAAAACACTTACGCACAAACACACACATCATGTAAGTATAAATAAAAGCTTATACTTATTTGTTTCTCCACTATAGGAATTTAAAAGATGAGAAAAACTCGCTTGTAACCACTTGCAAACAGCAAAACAAATAATGCAATTCGTATAGGTAGCAAGTTTTCTGAAAGACTGTAGGTACTTCTATATCAATATATCATACAAATAGTTATTTCCCTCTGATTCATTTGCATATCAGTAGTTTTGTTATGATGAGGATGATGGGCAAGGAAGCTGTTCAAGCTAAGTATCTATTTTAATTTATTGTTTCAAGTAAATTTTATCATAAAAATATAATAATTTCCCTAATGAGAATATTCTTTTTTTAAACTAGCTCATGTCCTTTCTTGCCTCTTTCGTTCAAGCTATCTCCATATTAAATTTTATCTAAATCAGTTCAGTGGTTTGCCGTGAAGCGTAACAGACAGACAGAGTTAATTTGTAATATTAGTGTAGAACATAGGCGCAAATAGCGGGGGGGCTGGGGGGGCTAAGCCCCCCCCCCCCCCCTAAACTTTGTATAGCCCCCCCAAAATAATTATGTCATATATTATATATACTCTAAATTACGGTATATGCAACAAATTTTACATTCAACATATTATGTTACGTTCATCTAATCATGTTATAGGGTGCTAGAAATGTATTCAATGGATTACAAGCTTTGTATGTACATTTTTCTTATCCAACTACCAATACTAAATTAATCGAAATGCAAGATAAATTAAATTTAAAAAAAACAAAAATTGGACAACTGAGCGACACACGTTGGGTATGTCGTTTAAAAAGTTGTGAAGCCCTTTTAAAAAACTTTAAAGCTATAGTATGTGTCTTAACTGAGGAAATAGAAGTTCAAGAATCCAAAAACATGGCACAAGCTATTGGTATAATTTATACTTAAATATTTCAATTAGTTTTAATAGTTTTACTTTATTTTTAATTAACATGTTCTAGGTGTTCTTGCAACCATTAAAAATGTTAAGTTTGTTGTACACTTATTTATTCTACGTGAAGTATTAAAAATAGTAAATATATTGAGCGTTCAGCTTCAGGCCAAATCAGCTACATTGGGCAAATCTGCTAGTTTAGTAAAAGGCATAATAAGCACTTTAGAAAATAATCGTTCGTCTGACCACTTCAGTGAGCTGTGGGTTGATATCATACAATTTTGCAATGAGAATAATATTTATATAAATACTTCCACTACTAGTAAAAATATATAAAAAAAATACTCAGACTATCTGTATGACATGTTTTATAATTTTTAGAAGAATTAAAGAGAAGTAGAAAAGAGCCTAGATATCTCCAAGATTTTGATGTGACTACAGTAACAGGATCCGATGATGATCTTATTAGAACAAAGGATGTAAAGTCATACTGGAAAAATAAATGCTTTTTTTCCCATTCTGGATGTAATTATTATTAATATGAAAAAAAGATTTTCAGCTGAAAGTTTTCAGATTGCTACATCTATTGAAAATTTAATGGAAATGGATTTTGAAGGAAGCTCATTTTTAATTGACCATTATAAGGTAATTAATTCAATATATTTTAAATGTAGTATTTATAATAATTGACTATTATTTTATTTAGGATGTTTTAAAAGTAAATACTGAAGATTTAAAGTGTGAAATGACTGTATTTAAAAATATTTTAAATGGAAACACAGAATATGAATATTTTAAAGAACATCTTACACAACAAGTTTTTCCAAATTTATTTAAACTCGTTCAAGTAGCAATCACATTACCGGTCAGTTCATCCACTTGTGAGAGATCATTTTCGGCAATGCGAAGGATCAATACATATTTGAGGTCTACTATGTCTCAAAACCGGTTCAATGAATTAGGTATACTTAATATAGAAAAAGATATTGTTGTAGACGTTGAAGATATTTTAAACGAATTTTCTAAAACAGAAAGAAGAATAAAACTAATGTAATTTATTTTTTAATAATTTGTTGTGATTAAAACATACATATTTAACTATTGTAAATTGTTGATTTTGATTGGTACTAAATAATCTGAACGTAGTAAGGAAAATTTTTTTGTAATATAAGTGTCAATAAAGTTCAAATCTAAACCTGAGTTTCAGCCCAATCAGCCCCCCCCAAATCTCAAACACTATTTGCGCCTATGGTGTAGAAGTATATATATAAATATTATAAATTATAATAGGCAGTATAGGGACATGGAAGTATAAACTTTGTTTATAGAAATATTTATAGTATGAATTATACATTATGTTTCAGTTTATTAAATATTCAATAAAAACAAACGCTTAGAATTATCATATTATCGGTATTATGTTTTGTATAGTGTAATACATATGGAATGGGTGGTTAAAAAGGGTTTGCAATGTGGATTTGTGGAAAATATTCAAGATAAAAAATTTTATGAGGAAAAAGTAATCCTTAAATTAAATTTGATAACATTCGCATAATTTATTTCTTGAAATACATTTAAAATTATGCAATTCGTGGCTTTTGAAAATCTGGTGGTTGTGTGAGATATATACGCTACTTAAATTTAGACTATTCGGTTTTTGAAAAGTTCCGTTTCAACGAGTCCGGAGCGAGAATAAATTGCCACACAGTCGTGCGCTTTTATTCGTGTGGCATTTATATATCGTAATAATGTATTATGCTCATCGTTCGTGATTAATATTAATATTGTTATTATTTAGTCTGAAAGTTTCCGGTAACAGTTGCTTTTTGTTGTTCGTGGTGGTGTTTCAAACTGAATGTCAGCTATATTATTATTATACCGAACATTTGACGTTTATTATTAAACACGCAGAAAACCGATAACCATACACGTATAGGTATACCATAATATATATTGCAATGCACAGCCCGGCGGTTAAGGTTATAATATTTGGGGTAGAGCATCCGAAATAGTTTTGCGAAATACCTGTTGTAGTATAGTCACAAGTAATAATATTATATATTGAATATTGTTTTCAACGGGTAGGTACCTACTTATAATGTGTGGATGCTCGCGTGACGTCATAACTGTGAAAAATAATCACACGTTTCGTACACGACGCGATTTACATTATTTCGTGTTTAATTGCACACACGGCGAGACTTCAAACGGATTAATAATATCTGTAACTTACTAGCTATCGTGGTTATTGAACCTACTCGTTTCTATCGCTATTAACAAGGCGTGAAAAACTAAAAAGGTTTTGGAGTAGATGAATTTTACGGCTCGTCCATACCGCTGCGGCTAAGTATTTCTATTGCCACCTATACGCTAACTTGTCTTAGGTACGTCATCGTTTAATGTAATATATACACGGTGGAGACTGGAGAGGACGTATCAACTGGAGACAGCGAAGCACTGTGTGATTGGTGGCATAATCGTTTAATCCCATCGTAAAGTTAGTAAATATATACAAAACGTTTACAGGGGATTGATTGTTGTATTATTTATCACATAATGCTGTCTCAGAAGTCTGCAGACTATAGTTAAGCTAAAACCCCCCTGATAAGGAAAAATATGCTAAGCTCGTCGTTAATTCATTTTAGAATAAATGTAATATTTTCTATCTGTATTTTTTCAATAACGATGGAAAACTTATACATAGGTTCTAATGAAAAAATTCAAAACAGGAAGTACCTACCAACCCTGTTATTATATAAAACACATAAAAATATTTACAGAATAATAAAGACTGAGTACATCTCTGGATTAAAATTGTGTGATGATATAGTTCCTATCTTAGGTCTCTTCAACAATTAGGTTTGATTAAAGAAATAGCTAGGGGCTATCCAAAATAGATTTCTACGATTCGTTTCCGTATAAACTGAAATTTACACAGATAATCTCGTTCTCTTATTCACCATTTATAGATTTTTTACATTATGACACATTAGAAATGAGAAAAAAGAAATTGGATTTATCTTTTTTCTACATATATTGCTAAATAATTTATAGACAGTCCATGCTTAATATTAAGGCATTTTTAAGTAATTTATAATATGTTGAATTATTTTATTTGTCTTTAGCAACTACCAACTTAATGCACAGTATGGTGAATTATATATTATATAATTTACCAATACATATAATAATGAAATCGGTTAAGTATAATGTTGACTCATTTATGAGGTATTATTGTGAATTTAGAGAAATGTGCATTTACATTGTAATTTATATGTAATATTGTTTACTAATTATATTTTTATTAGTTTTTTAGATGTATGATAATTCAATTGAAATTGAATAAGATTGAGAAAAAACATATTTTCATATCTGAAGATAAAACTAAAATATATGTGCAATTGGTTGTTTTTCCAAAAGTTTATCTACAATTAATAATAATACCTTTTTTTCATCCCATAATGACGAGAAAACAATTATAATAATATTACTTTTTTGTTTCGGTGTTTTCAGCGTGTGATATTATTGCACAAACAAAACAAAAGCCCGGGGAGAATGAAAAGAAATGTTGGTGCAAAACGCTCGATGTGACCTCAAAACCAACGTCCTATTGTTGTCTCGGCTCTATCATAGGCGGTAGGTAAAATTCAGACAGGACAAAAGTTTATTGCCATGGGCTCTTTCTATAAAATCTCCCGGTTATGTCACAATCGGAAGGACATTTCTAGGAAATGGGTGTCATTTTCAATAATTTACAACTCGTTAGGCGGCGGCCTAGGTGTCGAGCCTTAGCAGCGTACCACTGTTTTTTCCCAAGTGTGGTGATGATGTATATAGGTACGTTAAGATCTGAAAGACTTTAATTTCAGTTGCAGTTATTTATTGTAGTTTATTTTTATTTTTAACCGAAAATTTCTCTAGAACTCTGGTGCAAGCCAAAAGTTGTACAATATCGAGTTTTTATCTAATGCTATACACGTTCACGCATAAAGGCCGTCTAGGGACTGATTGAAACAAAAAATACTTTATTATGATAAGCAATAAAGCAACGTCTGAACGTAAAGCTCTTTGTTTTTACGTTTCCATCTACGCGGGAAAAAATATTTCGGATCGCTATTATAATTTATCATACCTACCACACAGACTTGATCTTTTTTTTTTTTTGAAAAACTGAATTACAGAAATGTATACTCCCATAATACTGTAGATGAGTATAGACGAAAGTGCCTTGATAATTGTTTAAGAATATACGTACTAATACTATTAGTATCATGTGCCTAATTTGTGAAAAACCGAATAAAAATGAAATAATATGCAGTTATATACTTATATGTACAGCAGTAGGTATTTATAGATTCGATTTTAATAAAAAAAAACCTACTTGCGCGTTGCGCGTTATTTAAATGATCACATGTATATACGTAGGTATTGCTTTTCAATGTTTTTAATAATTACTAACATCGAAGCATTTCTTTCATACCTTTAAAATTATATCGTATATAAATATATAATTAGCATTCAAACGCATATTATTTATTAAAGAAAAGAAAATGTGCGCATAGGTATTTACTATTAAACTCCGAAATAGCTTGCATGCCAAAAGTATTAACAACCAACCTAATATTTTAAAGTTATAATTGTTACATTAATGCGACTTATGCGTATTGTACTTATTCGTTAAAAATTGACCAAAAATAATGATATGCGGTATTTATGTTTTTATATGATTAAGATTGTATAAGTAGTTGTAAATTGTAATTAAATTTATTTATATCTTAAGCGAGTTTCATTCTTTTATATTGCCCAATTATAATAAAACATTTCTCCAATTAAAGTAGGTAGCTGATATGTTTAATAATTGTAGGTATTTCTGAAATAATAATATAATAACATAGAATTAATAATATATTCTGTTTAGTAATTTCAGAAGCCTTCCCCAGTAATGTACTCTGGAAACTGTGTCATGCCCGGACAATATTATTTTTATGTGTCCTGAACTCCTAACTATATTACAATCGGAATAATTGTCTTTGGTTAGTATTGGTATTTGGTATTACCTATATGTACTAACCATAATACTATATAGGCACTATACATAAATTATACAACTCGTTAAGTTATTACCGTATTTATATAATCAAACCCGTAAACAAAAATATGTTCCGTATAAGCATTAATTAAACAATATTTTTATTAGTTATTACTATTTATATTTTGTAATTATATTGTTAATTAAACCTACTTCAGTAAAAATCATGCTTTTCACTCTTTTTATTTATTCGTACATATTAATATAACAACATTCTGGACAGTGGCGTGTCCAGCGGGTAGGCCTGGTAGGCCCGGGCCTACCCTGATTTTTAACCTTTAAGTATACCAAAAATATGCATTTTAAAATTATACATATATAATAAGCACACGATATATCAATCATATTTTTTGCTGTAAACAAATAAATATTTGTCTATAAATAAAATTAATAATCGTAAAATTTATCGTCAATTCTCAAGCGCTTCTTGGAAATACCCCATATTTCTATTATATAGATATTACACGACCCGACGACCGTCGTCGTTTGGTCGGCGATCACGCCGTAGTGTTGAACGTCAAAAACTATGACAATGGCTATTAGATAACAAATATTTTATTTAGTACCGACTTTTAATTTATTGTCACGGTTGACAACCGAGCCCATGAGTGAGTTTCTTCGTTTTGTATTTTTTTGTGCGTATATTTTAAAACTATTATAAATTGTATTTTTTGTATTTTGTTAAAATTTATAATTTATAAAAAAATGATTAGCCAATTTTTGAAACCTGTTCCAAAATCAACAAGAACATTAAATGATGATGACGATATAGTAGATCAACCACCAAAACAAATTGTAAAACTAAACGACAATTCAATTTTTAACGATTCATTTAATGCAAAAGTTCTCGATATTAGTTTAAATTGTGATAATGACGAGTTCGCCAAAATGAAAAACAGGCGAATTCAATTTATTAAATAAAATACTCATATTATAAATAGTTTTTAATATTAGTACGTCATGTT